ACACACCTCACACACCTCAGACACCCTCATTGTCCGGTCTCGTATACACGTAGAGGACTCAATGACTTTGCCATTTGAATCTTCGAACTATTCCCTCACCATCACATCCTCTGAACCCTACCCCAGTACTCTCTGTGACCAAATAAACCTATTTTATATATACTAACCTGTTGCGTCAGACCTCTTCCGTTACACGTAGAATAGCACATTGTAACACAGTGTTACAATGTGCCCCATCTGCGCAACTGGAGTTTAAAACCAGTTGCTGTCTTCTGCTAGTTAGTGAAGCATTAAAAAAAACGATTTAAACTGATAAATAACAGATTGTAAATTCAAATAATAGCAGATTTTTAAATGATTAATAAAAACAGAGATGAAAAATTTACTTAAGCCAGAATTGTAATTTTACTATAGTAAAATAAATGTTCATTGATATCTTCAAAAGATTTTTGAATTTTGGCACACTTTTTTCTATATAATGTTGATATGGTAGCTAATAAATACTGTAAATTTTGTTATGCTAGCATGTGTGGAAATATTCAAACCATGTGTGTTACAACTAACCCCGCATTACTTTGTGCCCCGCGCTCCCCTAACAACAACACAGACAGCATTTATTAATATGAGTTAATGTAAATCTAAAAAAAATGCTCAATTAAATAAAAAGTTGCTAATGCATCATGAACTAATGAACATTTTTATTAACTAACATTGACAAAGGTTAATAAATGCTGTAAAAATATATTCCTCACTGTTATTTCTGGTTAGTTAATGCATTAGCTAATGTTAACACGTGAGACCTTATTGGAAAGTGTTACAGTGTTTTCTGAAAATAAATATTTCTCAATAAATTCAATGATAAAAGCATGGTATTAATCTCAGAAATTGTCATGTGTTGTCTGTTGCCAGATGTGATTACATTTCATGAATTTTGTCAAAAGAATTCATGTCATGAGACAATTTATTTCCTTTATTTAGCCAGGACAGTCTCATTGAGATAATCTGTTCTTCCAGAGAGACCTGGGGCCTCATGTACAAAGACTTGCGTTGAATTCATACTAAAACATTGCGTACGGACAAAGCTGTAAAGGTGCGTACGCACAAAAAAAATCAGGTGTATGAATCTCTGCGTACGCAGGATCCCAAGCATATTCTCTTTGTACATCCCAATTAACGTGAAATTGAGCGCACATGCACGAGCACAACACCCCGCCCTGTCTCCTCCCTCAATTAAATAAATTTTAATGTGGTAATGAGTCCACTTTGGCAAAAGCAAGCAGAAAGAAAATGTCAAAAACAAGCAGCAAGAAACGAAACTTTACTGAAAGTGAATTGGTGGTGTTACTATCAGAGGTAGAAATGAGAAAAAATATTTTATTTGGAACTTTGTCCTCTGGAATTAATAACAAAAGAAAAAAAAAATGAGTGGGACAGTTTGGCTGATGCCGTCAACGCGGTGGGATCGGAAAATCGCACTGTAAATGAGCTTAAAAAGAAATGGTCTGATATAAAGGTGGAAGTTAAGCGGAGAACTGCTGCGCACCGACAAAGTGTGGGCAGAACAGGCAGTGGTACAGGGGTCGATGAACTTACACCCTTTGAGCAGAGAGTTGCCTCTATTGTGGGCGACACTTTACTCTCCGGAGTAGTATCCGTTGCGTTGGGAGACTCGGATTTACAGGACTGCCACGAAGGTAACTAATTTCTCATTTATTTGCTTAACTTTGGTACACATAGCTTACCAGACTGCATTTAATTTTCAAATGCATGCAATATAGCTTACCAAAAGTAGCCTACACCAGAGATTTTACATATCCATGGCATTTATAGCAAATGCGTGTACCCATTAATAAGGAACAGACTCAAATCACCGTTAACATGTGCCTGTGTTTATTTGGACTTATATGGTGCAACAGCAGGAACGTCCACTGGCACGCACTCGGAGTCTGCCCCTCCTGAGCAGCCAGGGCCCAGTGTGTCCAGCGTCTCCGGCGTTTCCAGTGCTCCCCCCAGTGCTGAGGCCCGTCCATCTGGCCGCGTCTTGACGCATGCTGTTCTGGAGTCACAACAGCAAATCGTTAGGGCCATCGGAGAAATTAACAGTCACCTGAAAAATATCACTGACGCACTCACAGACATAAGCCACTCATTAAAGGAACTGGTAAAAAAATGAACTTGGTCTCTGATTACCATTTATATTGTCGCAATCACATGTTGACGGGCCTGAATGGCTTGTTGGTTGGGCTGCACATACACTGGTCCTGGGTCGGGGTCATCTGGCGGTGCCACCACCTCACCAAGTGGTATGCCGTGCCTGTGCGCGACATTGTGCAGCACACCACAGGCCAGCACGATGCGGCACACCTTCTCAGGGCGGTATAACAGCATCCCCCCGGTCCTGTCAAGGCAGCGCCAGCGACATTTCAGCTGCCCAATCGCCCGCTCTACCACTGACCGAGTGCGAGAATGTGCATCATTGTATCTGCGCTCTCGGTCAGTTTGTGGGTTGGTGAGGGGGGTTAACAGCCACGTCTTTAGTGGATAACCGCGGTCTCCTAATGGGCAGTTGAATAATTAAACGCAACAAAAAAACAAAACCACCAACAACTTTTAGATAGGACCATATAACTTTAAATGCATCACTCACCAAGAAGCCACCCATCGCGAACCCTGCCAGCTTGGAGCCTCATCCCAACCATGCTGTTTGTAAGGATGTATGAATCATGGGTTGACCCAGGCCACCTTGCCACAATATTTGTTA